AAAATGAATCCACCTCAACAATATAGAACTTATCTACTATGTTTTTTGCTTAGGTATTAGTGAGTTGAATCTTTCCAAAACATATTTTATTTAGGTTTCCTTGGAAAGCACTTGATTTATAATACGATATTATACTTGAAGACAAAGATAAACGACGCGCTGCGCGTTTTGTCAAACTAATTAATTAATTCCGAACTATTTCTTTTGCTTCCTTTCTGTTGGTCTCATTCTAAACAATTGGATGATGCAAAAATCGTGATGTAGGCCTTAAAATTTAATTGTTCCGAAATTCGAGAAGCCACTCTTTTTAATCGAATTTTTCGATCCGGCTATAACAGCGTCTAAAATAAATAAAAAAAACAATTCTCACTGTTCTCTTGTCCTTCCGTCTTCCCTGTTCAGCAACTTTGCCCTTATGCATGTTCATTGGTATTAGTAGAGTGCGATTCAAAATCGTTGATAAATTCAAGGTTTATTAATAACAAAAACTGCATTTTCTGTTCAAATTGAAAGCGCGACAATTTATACAACCCTCAAAATTTATAGACTTTAAGTTGAGACACCTTCTAAATCTAGTTAATCCATTCGATAAATCTCTTCGGACTTGTAAGTTCTGATTGATTCCATTTCCCTGCGGGATCTCTCATAAATTATTTCACTAAATTCCTTCCAGAAAAAGACGCCTAATGGCGAAATACATTAATCATCACTCGCTTCTAAATCTTCCATCAAGGTAAAGCTTTTGCCTCCCCATCTTCAAAGAATGAATAATCTGTTTATTGACAAATTGTATGTTGTTTAGGATCAACTCAATCAACTCAACTGACTGAAAGTAACGGTTTTTAATTTTTAAATACATTTATAGCGCTTGCTTCCACAATCTCACAATACACGTGCTTTTTGTTAATTGGTCGTAAGTAAAGTGCGTTTTCAGTTATCGTAATAAACTCTAACCATGTATTTGGGCTACAAATCATTATGATAATCCGACTTTTTACAATCATTGGAACAATAAATTCACTCGCTTTCAGTCTTTTAAAAACTGAGTATTAAACCGTCTGTACTGGACGTACTTACAATTGCAAATAGGTGAGAATACATTGTAAGGACTGCTATTATGATTTCAAATTTTTCAAAAAAGGCAACGCTCAATAGGTAATTTACGCAGGAAAGCTTTTAGAAGGCTATTTATATTAATTTATCTTAAGTTTGGCTACGAAATTTGATCAGATTTTCCCAGGACCTGTCCTGAAATATGTTTTATCATGATTTAAACTTTAATGAAGTTGTCTGAACCCTGATTGATGATGTTAATTTTCCGACCCATCCATTACGATACAAAAAGTGCGATGAAAATATTCTTTGGTAAATTCAGTTTTATTCGTTCGATAATACCACAAATCTTATTAAAAGCGAAAAATAACTATTTTCGAACTTTTCGCAAAGGAATTACTTGAGCTATACGACACTGGCTGACACCGGTGGCAACGGTGTAAATTATTTTCTATATTGTTGTATTTCAAGAAACAAATTATTCAATAAATTGAAAAATAACTTTAAAGAGAAACAGAAATTGAGGTATTTTTTTCATAAGTTGAACGGTTCCCACCTTGCACACTAATGTAAATCAGATCGTGCAGACTTTCGCAACGTCACTAGTTTGCACCCTTTTCACTTCCAGCAATGCCGAATTCTGCCAAGAATGATTTATAGGTGCCAAGAGACTGAAATCATTATTTATTGCTGTACAAGTCTATTAACCTAATATTGTGTGTGCAAGAAATATTTAAATAAGGCACTGTATTTTTCTGCTGTGATTAGTGTAGTACACTAGGTGTGAACAGAATTCTAGTCGGTAAGACCCAAAATGATAAAAACAAATTATTCCTACAAACGAGATACCACAGGCATGAACTTAATATCTTGTAAGCAACCAAAGCGGAGCAACTATAGTGGCTTTATACAAGAGTAAGTACAAGTCTTGCATAAAGCCATTGTAGGAGCAGAGATTAGTAGATTAATCTCTGCTGGTAGGAGCAACCACGGAGAGAGTGGCAACACTGGTAGGCGGGACACGCCCAGGATGGGAGTGGCAACATCGGGGCTACTTCATGGCTAGGACAGGAGACGGCGCGGCGGTACTTCCGGGCAACAACACAGAAGATCCCTGGGGGGATATTCTGTGGGAAAAACAAATGGTGGGGTTGCCAGGGGAGATGGATTATTGATTTGATGGTGACGGTGCAAGGCTGAAAAACTTTCGTAGGACGTATTTTCTTGTAAAGTTCATATTTACTGAGATATCGCACTTTGACGCACTAATGAGCAACCCTGTATATTGTAAGCAACCTGGGAAAACGGAGCAACCACGGCGAGAGCGGCAACACTGGTAGGCGGGACACGCCCAGGACGGGAGTGGCAACATCGGGACTACTTCATGGCTAGGACAAGAGACGGCGCGGCGGTACTTCCGGCCAACAACAGAGAACATCCCTGGGGGGATATTCTGTGGGAAAAACAACTCAATCAATCAATAATTTAATATACAATCATATTGGCTTTTGCTCTCCGGATTAATTTTCTTTAGTGTGACAACCCACTGTTTCACATGCCAACGGAAAAATTAAACATTTAATATAGACACTAATTAAGATTGTTTTTTGGCTTTCGAGTGGTCACTTTTTACCGAAAAGCACCAAAGATACCGGTCCGATTGAATGCCACTTTGATGGAAGTTTTGAAAAAGCATTGGACACATGGCGAAAAGTATGTATATGCAAAATACTTAAAATTTTAATTAGCGGTTTTCCATCCAAACAAAATAGTTTTTGAGAACTAATAAAGATAAACTTTTAAGCGGGCAGGTAAGTTCAAGCTAACGTCAAAGAAAAACGACTTTCACATTGTACCTATAGCCAATTGCAATAGCGAAAACTGGGAATTCTCCGATTAATCGAAAGTGTTTTTATTGCTGGAAAGCACAAAATACAACTCCATGGGGAGTTTGAGCTCGTACGTATTGTATTATTAGAGCTCGTGATGGAAGAAGTTTTAATTAATTTATTGGCCCGTCCCAAATACACAGGACCAGAAAAAGTTTTGTCCCGTCGGATATTTGTCCTAATGTTTCTCGATTAACGGCACCCGATGTGGCATATTGTAAAGTTTTGAATTTGTAATAGTCCCACAATCCCCTACACATCTATGTAGGTAATTGATTGAGTAACATTAATTTCACAAAAAAAAATTCTTGAATCCAATTAGGGTTAAGTGAGCACCATCGAATGGCACCGAATGATGTTAAATTCTATATTTTCTATATACAGGATGATTCAATTTTAAGTCAGATCATTAAATCGTTATAAAGTTAATTAGCTTTAATTGATTGATTAAAAGTTAATTGATTTTTTTTGTAAACAGCAATTAGTGAGTCAAATTATGCTGCCAAACCAACGCAAAAATGCCATGATTTCAAGATACTAATAAATAAATTCTGTTTTTCGTAGCCATTGCATCTCACCATAATAAATATATTTTAATTTACTACGGAAACGCCTAGTTATAAAACACTTGGGTACGGGATTTCTGCCTTATAACATTTCCTAGATTTATGGGCTATTTGGTTACCCCAATTTAGTCTGGGCTACTAAAATTTCTTTTGCAGGTTTTTCTTCAGTAAAATTATGTCTCACGGTATTAATCTAAATCTTGTCATAATTGCCATAGATTTATGAGTGAAGCGACTCCGATTTCGTCAAAAGTTTGGAAAATTGGTCGAAAGGAATGCTCCATGACCAGCCGATTTATTGGAACCATTATAAGACACTTCAAGCAGCTGTAACTGTCTAACTCAGATGAACCGGTGTGCTGGAGTAGTTTCTTGAATATATGACAAAACAAACATGGTTTTTCTTAAAAAACAATGCTTGCAAGGACTTGTAACATGTACATATTATATATGATATTTTTCTTGGTTAACTGCAATTTTATTCAGTCTATTATCATAATCGGGCAATTATAAAAATGCAATTTGCATGCAGAAATAATAAAATGAAGAATCTCATGAATACAATCCTAATATRTCGTGTTCTATATTTAAAGGCAAATTTATAATCTGCGTGAAAATTTATAACTTAGACTCTGTCAATTACTTGCTTTATAAGCGTTTAAAATAGTACGGATTTGGGCTGAGCTGWTGATGAACAAAAAATTTRAATTAATAATAGAAAGTATGATCGATGATGAAAGTATTTGAACTGATTTTAAAAGTTTTCTTCAAAACCTTATGTGTAAACTGAAATAAAGGCGGTACGCGTGAGAATYGATGAAATTARTAATTTCAACAACATGACATTTAAAGCAATTGAAATACCCCAAAATTATTTCAGTACAATATAATAAATGTCCAAAGATGATTGAACATGTACATATTTCTCCAACATAACTCGTTATTGCCCTTTTATTACTTCCGTGAGATTATGCGAAGTGAAAAAGTCCGATAAAAAGCTAGTCTTTCTGTTTGCAAATTAAATTGTACACGAAAACAGGTCGCGATTAAGCCATAACTGAAATCGTCAGTAATTTGCTGGACATATTTTTTCCATTGGGACACATTATTCGAAGGGGCGGGAATTTTACCAAAAAAACACAAAATTTCTGTTTTTCTGTCTTGGTTTCTCAATGCTACGAGAGTTGTTTAATATCTGATTTTATCTTCGCTCTTTATATTGATTTCAAAGTTCTTCGCCTCCTTTTTCGTAAATGGGTCTGCTTATATCCCACTATTTCCCTACATTTAATTTTTTAGTATTACCTATTATCTCTAATTGTCTCATAAAGAACTTTAGGTCCAAACTATCTTCGTTATATAAATTTCAATGTATTACTTAAATACTTAAACATATTCCGGTGACATGGTGGAAAAAGCACATTAGCACATTCACTTGACCACTCATCACAACATTATTCTTTGTTTTTTGTTCGTAAATATAAATGCACCTTTTTCATTTACAATGCATGATTGAACAGAAGATTTTCTGGTGAAACACTTATGCAAATTTAAATTGCTTTTATGTGTTGCAAACAAAAGTAAATTTCAATTATGTTTTTTTCATTTATGATTCATTTAAAATTCCCAAAAGTCCTAAATCAATATTCGGTATCTGGTTTGTATTGAATGTTTCGTGTGCCAGCAATGCCCAGCGAGCTTGGCAAATATTGTTTTATGAGAATAAAGGAGCAGAAAAAATATTTATCCCTTATATCGATTTCCAATTGAGGTATTAAAAAGGACGAGGCAAACCTGGTTCAATTTGGCGCTCCTGAAATACCTGTAGCTCGGGAAAAATTACTTTCAAATTGCATCTATTATTCTCTTCCTTTTTCCAATAAGTGTCCTTTAGTTCGTGTTCGGTGAAGAATTCATCACGTTCGTCCCGAAATCAGAATATCAGAGTTAAGATTCCTGGCGGAGCTTATCGAAATAAATTGTCATCTTGTTTTATTTAATTTAAACGGTTTTTGACTGGCTCTATAATGGAGTCATATTTTAAAGAGTTTCGATTTGAAATAACAGATTGGATATGACTATCTTGGTCAATTTTTGATGACAACTTAATACGTACGCGTAGGTATATGCTCCACCAGTCATATGATAATCGGGCAGACAAAAGGACATAATCGAAGACTGCGATTTGTAACAATAGCGGCGATATTGGCAATTGGACCGATAACAATTGCCATTAACACACATTATCCGCAGTGCCCTATGAACTTCCATTCATGTTTTAAATATGGAAAAAAAGGCTTTTCATCACAGCATCTTATTAGACGGAATGTCTCTAGTTATTTATGTTTTACTATTAAACCGGTTAACATATTTCCGACAAAAATAATAAGAATAACTACCTAGTTTATTGACAGTTGGAAAGTTTGCATAAAATAAGTATCAGCAAAAAAATAATTTTATTTGTTTTTATTACGTGTGGGCAACCCAGATAGCATTTGATATTCTATGAATATCCCAGAATGTTCAAAAAATATACAGAACATTGCGGGAATAACCTGGGAATATACATGAATAAACATTCCTAACATGAATGTTCGTGGAATATACATGCATGTATATTCATCAAAGTTCATAAAAAGTATATCCTAGGTATGTACATACATATTGGGTATATGTGCAGATGAACATGCCAGGTATGTACATATTGTGTATATGTGCAGGTGAATATACCTAGTATGTTCAAAACAAATATTCCGGTAATATACATAAATTATATCTACGGTATATTCCAAATTGGTGGAATATAAATTTTGCGTGCCCGCAGCAGAAAAGTAAGGGCATGTAAAAGTAAATCTTCTTACTACTAAAACCTGAGACCCTTATGAAATACTGAAAATATGGTGTTTTGATTAACAAATTGCCAAAATTTATCCAAAATAAATTTTGCGTGCCCGCAGCAGAAAAGTAAGGGCACATACAAGTACAACAGCTTATATGAACTTTTCTTTTTAAATCCGTCAACGTTATAATTTTATTGGGCAATATTAATAAAATTTCTATATTACTCAAATTTTATCCGGAGCTAACAGTTCCCACCC